AATGAAAAGAAAGACAGGATCGGCAAATATGATCTTATAAGCCGAGAAATAGCAAAATAAACTTATTTTTAATATTTATATATGCTTTTATTTTATATCCCATATTTCCTTCTATGTCCAGTTGGTCGTACATTGTGGATTGTTTTTAATTGTTTTAAAACTAATACTTACACATAGTTATTTTTTGCAATAAGTATTTTGCTAAGAAAGTAAAATTTATTAATTTTTATTAAATATTACAGTGGCGGAGGAGCAGACTTTCGACCAGTCATTCATTATCGGGATCTTGACGCACCAAGAGAACCAGATGAATTTCTTTAAATAGCATTAAAAAACGAAAAAGCAAAGGATTAAAAGAAACGAATTGGTAAAAGCAATACGAAGGTTTGTGTATTAGATGTATCTGTATATAACAAATCGTAGAATCATATACATACATATTATAAGACTTTATACAAATGTCTACAGTCACTTGTATACAAAAATATATCTACGTATTCTAATGTGTGTACAAATTGACGCACTAGTAGAAAAATGCACATTAAGAATAAAGATCTCCTATTTAGTAAATAAATATTATAATATTTGCAATATACATGAAAACAATGTTTCGTCGAAATAATGGATAATATAGATAGATTGCAGTAAAAATGTATTTGTAATCTATCATATGATACAATAATAAAATATATTGTTTCCTAATTATATTCTGATAATTAAGTATTTCATTCGTGAAACGTTTATTCCGTACCATTGCTCGTTTATACAGCACAGTTATGTACAACGTTTAATTATATTAATAAAAATACTGTAACGCAATATAAAAAACATCTTCAATCAGATGCGTAAGCATCTAAAGCTAAGAGAATCGATCCTTGCAATGTCTCTCATCGCTTCCATCACCGCAATCATCAATCCCGTTGCACTTCATTCCTTTCGTAATGCATCTATTGTTTCTGTGCGAAAACGAATGGATATCAGATATTTATTAATTAATCGATTATCACTATTGACTTACTGGCATGTGAATTCGTGTTTATTACACCGTCCTTGGCATCCATGAGGTTCGTCAGATCCATCGAGACAATCTGGTAGGCTATCGCAGAAGCGAGCTTTTGATATGCATTGTCCATTGCTGCACGTGAACTCGTTTTCCGAGGGGCACGCTGGCATGAAAAGAAACGTTGTTGCAAACGAGTTACGCGACTATGGTGTTAATAAACATAAGCGTGCAAGTTGCATTCTTTCAGCATAGCATGGCAAACTACGATATTTAAATTCGTATCGTACGAGAGCTTAAATAAAGTAAAAAGCTGTTATATTGAAAGAAATAGTAAAAATATTTTTTTGCTCATCAAAAAAGCGTGCAGTGGCAATTATCAGGCAGGCGTGCTTCGTATGAAGCGAAAATTGAATGCATATATCAAATAAACGAGTATGTACTCACACCCACCGAGATTATGACCTACGAAGAAGAACAGAAAAAAACTTTAACCCAGAAAAGAAAAGAAAATCAGTGAGAAGGAAATGTGTGTGAAAAAAAGATAAATAGAGAAACTGTGTTGCCGACGATACACGAATAACTCGACGGTCGACGAACTATATCGTTAGTATAATCTCGGGGAAAATCGAGTCCTACGATTATCCAATGAATCGCGTGAGAAAAAGTACATACGTATGTTGGCAATTACTATAATTTTGACAAGTCGATAATCCGCAAACCAACGGCATACGTTTCTCGTGAATGCAACAAGTAGTTACGCATATCTTACCTAGAGTACAATTAATCTCGTCGGCTGCGTCCCAGCAATCTATCTTGCCGTCGCATCTTCTTTCCAATGGAAGACAGGAAGTCTCGTTACCACATTGAAAATGTGTCTGCAAATCGCAATCTGCAAGAAGAGACAATTATTTTTATCATTCTCATATGTTTATCTCTCCACGATCACGAAAGTCTAAATTCATGCATTCTTCTGGTTTTGTTTTAAAATCAAATGCGTTGCTGCCTTTTTTACCATCGAATTATTATATATTGTAACAAACCAATAAAGAGTGAAGCCTCACGGTGGCAAAGTATCTGCAAATCCGATCACGGAAAGAAAGTCGTGAGTCGCGAAAAACTGGGCTAATGCTATATGCTCGTACATACCGCAATTGTATTCGTCCGAATGGTCGTAGCAATTCATATGTCCGTCGCAATGTTTCTCGAGTGGGATGCATAATGTGTTTAGACAAGCCCATTCGTTGTCCAGGCAATAATGTTCCATTTCAACGCATCTTCAGAAACGGAAAAACGTCAAATTAACAAAACGAAACGAATTCGAATTACAATCGTTTTATGCGGGTATGCGAAATGCGAACCTAAAAGCATCGGTGTCAAGACGATGACACTTTTGTTTGTTGATAAGACAGAAACCGGCACATCCGGTTGGATCTTTGGAATCGTTGGGTATCCTGCAAATCGGTACTTCCTCGTCGACAAGAGCAACGCAAACCTCTTTTGGCAAACAATCGTCGCAGTATCTGGTGGAATTGAGACTCGATTCGATAGGGCTCGTAACTTCCGTTTCCGCTTCCGATGTTAATCGAGTGTGGCTCTCCGGAAATGACGAGTCGCTGTTTAAAAGAATATTTGGAACGAAGGTGCTGGTAGCAGGTAAGAGTTGCGATGGTTTTGTTGATGACGTCGTGGTTGTCGTCTCGTTCTGTTGTTCGACGTTATTATTCGAAGACGAATTGTTAGTCGAAGATTTCAGGTACTGTTGAATAACCTGCAACTTCTCCGGTTCTGTAACAAATCATTTCCACGTTACAATGATTACAAGTAATATCGAAAATGATTAAACGAAAGCAAAGACGAATATCACCTTCAATAATCGAAAAAGAAACCTAACGTCGTTTATCAGTTAACTAGAAAACGTGTCTTAATTTAATTAGAAACGTATCTTCTATATATATCTAAATACACTATAAATGAAACCTAATTTCACTTTAATATAATTTTTGATATACGTATATTTCTATCAAACTTGTATTATATATTTATATGGTTGATATATGCTTGTACCAGATATGTATGTATGTATATTTGTGATATACATGAATACAGGATATCTCACCATTATCATTTTAATTTATGTCACTGTCATTATCCTCAGCGAAAATTATTTCAAGAATGCACAACGCGATACAATTACTTTGTTGTAGATGAACACATCAAATTACACGTTATTTGATATATTGTTAAACACAACATTTTTTTTTTCTCCCTTTTTTCCAAATTCCCTTTTCCTACTTTTTCTTACACTTTTCCGAATTTCTTGTTTCGAAATATTTACATACAAATTCATTTACATTCTCAAACAAAATATTTTTGAATTTCATAAAATTGATCGCCGCGTTTCTTTCTTTGATCCTCGAATCTGTCGATCGAGGAATACATTTTGTTTATAAATCAAATGGCAACCGAAAAATTTTGAGGATCAGCGCCATCTCGCGTTTGGATCACCGAAGCTTCGATTTGTTAATAGAAAAGCAGAATGTGCAAGGAGGTATTCGACGGACAAGGAGAGCAACACCGTGCGAAAAGGATGAAAAAAGCGTGCCACTATTTTTGGTTATGCGACTCCTAATATTTTTCTAATATAATTACGTAACTTCGAAAATTAATTAATTACTCGTTTATTGCTAAAAATATCTGCACTTTTGTACTCGCATTTTGAAGCTGGAACCTTAAACAAGTTTCTCATATAAATTTTAACGTGAAATTCTTTCCAATTAATTATTTATTAATAATTAATACGTCAATATGGCGATTGACGCGATCGACACTCGATGCATTTTTCACTAATTTCTCGTTGTTACGAAATTTATTTCCAAATATAAATGCATGCATTTGAAACGTTACATCCTCCTCTATATTCTTGTATAATTTTTATTCATAATTTCGTTCTTATTCGAACGAATAAATTGATTGTTTATCACTAGATTAGACAGTGGAAGCGTTACGATTCCGACATTCTCCGTAATAATCGTTAATAAATAATTAATAAAAAAGAATTTCGCGTTAAAATTTATACGAGAAACTTGTCTAAGGTTTCATTTATAAGATGCGAGTGTAAAAGTGCACAAATTTTTCGTAACAAATGAATAATTAATTGATTTTCCAAGTTGCGTAATTATATTAGAAAAATATTAGGAGCCGCATAACCAAAAATAGTGGCACGCTTTCTTCATCCTTCTCGCACGGTGTTGCTCTCCTTGTCTGTCGAATACCTCCTTGCACATTCTGCTTTTCTATTAACAAATTGGAGCTTCCAGAGTCCAAACGCGAGATGGCGTTGATTTTCAAAATTTTTTAATCGCTATCTACTTTATCGGCGATATGTACGTTTTTATTACATTATATATCCCGTATATGCATAGCTTTACATCAACGATACATTTTTTTGTTATGTATGTATAAAAGAAATACACGTATTCGTTTAACAGAAATACAACAATTCAAAATTCAGTTTCGTTCATGAAACATGCGTAAATATTTAAGAAATGTAAATATGATAAAGATGACAGAAAACATGTAAAATTTTAGAAAATTTCCCTCCATTTTCAAGGAACTCAATCGCACGTATGATTTCTTTAACTTATCGTGAATGTACCACTTACCAAGAGCAATATACAAAGCGACAGCACCGACGCCCAAAAGCAACACGATCAACAGAACGAGGGATCTGGTGCATTTAGAAGCCTCGAGAGGATGCTCCAGATGCAGGGTCCAGCCGTGTCTGTGCTTTCGAAGTCTGGCCGGATGCGGAGGTGGTTCTCTTCTGACGCAGCGTCGTAAGTTAATGCGATTTTGGGAGGACGGGGTGTGCGTTCGAGCCGGGAGGGAGTAAGCCCTCTGAAAAAAAAAGAAAAATATCGTATCTTTCGACCGCTCGTAAATTCGTAAAACGATAGAAGACAACATTGTTCGCCGCGCGTATAAAGAATAGGTTCGCGATTTACCTGAAGCTCAGCCATTGACACTGCATTCTCTTCGAACCAGCGATGTAATTATAACCATTGATGATCAACAATTGCTTGTTTATTATCGATGACGAATCCGAAAAGTAAACAGAGGCGCGGCAGAAAAGCTAGATATGGAACATTGCCAATTTTTCTCTCGGAAAATAAGCGGGTTAAAATTTTAAATAAACGACTTTCTCCGAGTATTGTCTTTTATCTGGTTTTACGTAATCTTCGATGCGTTAAATATAGTAACGACGTCAGCGAACGGTGTTAAAAATTATGTTTTTTTTTTTTTTTTATTACAGAACGAAACGGAGAATAAATTACAACTGTTCGAGAAA